AAGATTTATATCCATTAAACCAGATGATTAGGATTCATAGATAATTAAAATATTATTATTTATTAATGATATTCTTCCGTAATGGGGACCGAACAATCGTTAAGGGTTTTTGACGGACTAAAAAGATCTATTCTGTTTAACCGGATTAATTCTTCGCCAATGACACAAGGAATCCGGAATTGCTACTAAATATTCTTTTCCTAGGGCCAAAATCTATTCCAAGAACTATAAACATCTAGAATCGCCCATTACAATTCCTTACATATTGGTCAATAATATTACAATATTAGAAAAATCCACCCACTCTTCAATAGACCCCCATAATCCTGTTTCCAACGTGTATAGCAACCTTAGAAATGATAATCTCATGTTCCCGATGCAACTCAATTACCAATTATTCCCCCAAATCAACATCATATATATATATTGGGTCGATCAAAATTCGGGTCATCTAATAATAATGATATTTTCGTTCCTAATATTAATACAATCTAATTAAATCCGGGCACGACGGCCCGAACAGATACCAATTCGAATAGCTTCTAGAATTGCGACAATCTCTGTTCTGCCGTTTGTTTATCAATCTAGAAAGGATGCATCTTATAATCAAGAATCCTTAGTTAAAAGCTCGCAATAATTCGTCCTCAATAAAAAAATATATATATAATTACTATTTATTAATTCAATATTCAAAATCATTAAATATATTCAAATATTCATTTAATCTTCGATAATCACAACTATATAATATATTTAAATTCATATAATCAATATTACATTCACAATATATTACTATTTTTATATGTATTTTTTACCTTAAATAAATTAAAATATTTTCCATAAATATCTTTAAGAATCATAAATATATTTAATACATACATATAATTTCAATAAATTAATTTTCGAAATAATTGTATATATAAATATTTATTTAAATACAATTATAAAGCAATAATAAAATATCAATACCAATTTTTTAATATATTTAATATTTAAAAAAATAATTTAACAAAATTTCGTAATATAATATATTTTTATAAATCTTATATATATTCAATAATTTATCTTTAAATTAAGTGTTTTTAGTCTGTGCGAATAAACCCCTTTCTACTGTTGTCGGTCTACGGAGCTGGAATGGGGTTTAGTTTTGATTAAACCCTTTTTGGTCGATTGATATTCATACCCTTGGGTTTGGGGTTTGGATCAGGATGTAAACCCTTTGTGCTCGAGTGAGGGCCCTTACTCGACCAAAAAGGGTTTAATCAAAACTAAACCCCAAGTACAGCTCCGTAGACCGACAATATTAGAAAAGGGTTTATTCGCACAGACTAAAAAAACCAGCCAATCCATCCTCTATAAAGTGTTTGTGGGCACATCTTGATGCATAGGTTCTTCCTTTGCCCACTGCGTCAGGTGGTCTCCTTACGCCACGCCGGGGCGGTGGATTTGAGGTGTGGTTTGGTGGATTCCACAAAGGACCTATACAAATGGAAGGACCGCAGTGGACCGGCCCGGACCGCCCGGACCGACCCGCAGTGGCCCGGCCCGCGGTGGCCCGGCCCGCCCGGACTATCCATGCACCTGTATAATGTATAGGCGCAAACTTGTGTGGTGCTCCGTCGAGGAACCTTGTTCAACCTACTACTAAAAAGACAAGGTAACATGCGAAACAAATAAAACAGTGCAATCCATTCATCTGGTCTTCCAGCTAAAGGCACATATGAGCTTTTGCTTGAATTTGTGTTCGCCGGCTGGTGTGGGGGCACCGTCTTTGCACCACCCTTTAGACTCACAATGAGAGCACCCAAATCCGCTTGGATCTTCCCAGCCTTCCACATCGCTGCCAATGACACATGTGCCTCGACCCTGCGACTTGACGAGCCCAGTGTCGCATCGATCGCAAGTAGATCCTTGCAAATCCACACATCCTGGGCATGCCATATTGGCACTGGGGCAGCAAACCTGGTCCATCTTGGAGTTTCCGATGTGAAGAAATTTGAAGCCAAACGGGCAGTCCGGTCGATCAAATGCCACAGCTGAAATACGTTGAGTCGTTGAAAGTGATCTCCGTGGCTCCTTGGTGTGCACTTTGCTACTACTAGATTCTTGTTACTGGTAGTAAGGCACCTTGCTACTAGTAGCAGTAGCGTCCTTGCTACTAGTAGCGAGGCACCTTGCTACTAGTAGCTTCTTGCCACTAGCAGTAATGCCGTCGTTACTAGTACCAATGCACTTGTTACTACCAGCGATGCCCCTGCTACTACTAGCTTCTTGCTCGTGCCTTGTGGGGAAAGTGTGGAAGCATTTGCCAAGTGGAGCAAACTTTCGGTCTGCATGCATTCATTATAGCATAGCTCTTCACCAGCCAAGGAGGAATCGAAGTCTCTTGCTGCTGAGACCGCTCTTCCTGTTGCACCATCTCTTCAAACCTCTTGGGCTCCACAAGTCCTTCAAACTCGGAATCCGAGCCACCCAAGCCACCTGCTTCTGGCAATGAATCTGGCCTTGGCTCGACTGGCCTCATATCTTTGATACTATGGCGCTGTTGGATCAAGGCGGATGTCCAAGCCATCCTTGTCTGACCCAGCTCCACGAGTAAAGCTAATGCATGATATGAAAAGAAAGAATGGACGGGCCATCCTTCCAAGGGGTACACTGTGAGAAATTGCAGGCTTAGAGTTGCCAGCTGCGACAATTGAAGGGCAGAAAGCATGTTGCCAATTATGCACTGCCCAGCACATCCTTGCAAACGACAGGAACAGTGGCCAAGAACGCATGAACTGCTCAAGGAGTAGTTGCATCTATTGCATCTTAAAGTTGTATATAATTATATAATACAACATTGTCAACCTTTTGGCTGTGGAAACTTAAATGATATGCTTGCTTGTGGGTTGAACAAGACAAAGGTTCCTCTCGAAGGTTGATCCTTGGAACCATTGTGCCAGCACTTGTGCTTCGCGACACAGCATTAGGAGGGTGGGAGCGACCCACCGGTCGACATAAAACAAAGGGAATGCTGGCAAAACAAGCACACCATCAGCCCAGGAGTTGCGGGGCCACTGCGGCATTTATTGTGACCTTGATCGCCTGAAAGAAGAAGTTAAGTTGGGAAGGATTGCCTTGGAATGGTCGTGAAAGGCTTTTGAGACTCTGAAAGCTTTCTTGCAGCACCAGGCGGATCAATCTCTCTTGTGGGGCAGCATGAGTTTTGGGTCACGGCAGGCTTTACATAACTTGAGAACTATATATATACTAAAATAAAACAATATAAACATGTCTGATTCTGATAGATTAGATCGACAAATCAACTAACAGAATAGAATTGGCACTTGATTCGCTCCTTTGTGCTCCTTCGCACTGCGGCTACATCTCCCCGATCTCGCTCACACATATCACTTGAGCAAAGACGGCAGTAAGGTGCTCTCAAAGCTCTCACTCTGTACATGTGCAAGTGCAAAGCTTCTGGCAAAAAGCTGGCATGCTGCACATGCCCAGCAAAAGATACGACGCCCTTCTGTGCCGTTCAAAATAGCAGCATTTCCAGGTCGAGATTCACCTTCACCCGCTTGGGCAATTCTAGAGTATTCCAAGCAGGTAGCAATATATTATTCAAACAAACAATGGCAAACATCATTCCAACAGCAATGCCTTTGTAGCTCTTGCAAGCGCTTCATCAAAGGATCCTGGTTGAGGCTGGGCTGGCAGAAAGGCCAATGTCGACAAGCACATATGGTTTCAAGATAAATAGTGCGTCGGAAGTGCGTCTTAAAAGCATATGTGTCCAAATATATTTTCTTTTGGGGGTTGACCACTAGAAAGCTTAGAAGCTGTATATAAGCAAGCAAAGCTCGGGTTCTTTGTAAGTAATAAACTAGCAAGCTGAAGTAGCTATATATATATATATGATAATATATACTACCCAGGACGCAGGAAAGCTCAGGCGTCAAGATTGATTGAAACTTAACTTCAAAGGACTCACTCTGCAAGTTCGCACCTCTGTGGTTTCAGGTACTGGTGTGGCCACAGGTGCTGGAGTAGCAGCGGCTCCTGCAAACGTGTCCGACGTCATTAAAGCATCAGCAGAAAACTGCATATTTCCACTTGTTTGTTTGCACGGTAAAACGTCCTGTATCCATCAATTGCGACTTGTCAAGGGCGAGCTCCTTACAAAGCCAATTCATGCCACTTCATGCAAATCATACAGCAACAACCAGCAACTTCCGGCAAAATCCGCCCACACCTCGTAAACTCTGGCAACAGCGGAGTCGATCTCAGTCTCATCATCTGATTCTTGGAAGCCTGCAAGGCTTCACAAAAATCAAGTTGAAACGCCCTGAAACAGGTTGTCTGACTCAGTGTCTCGTGGCCAGCCAGTGATGGGCTGCATAGAAAATCACTGTAAAATACAGGTGCAACAAACTGTCAGCTGGCAGATTGTTTGCTGAGCTGCCTGCAAGAGTCTCCCAAACCTCTTGTAATCAACTTGATTTATGAGCGGCGATCTAAGCCTCTTGCATGCGGTAAAGGACATTAGGAGCAAGGACGCTACTAGGGGCTCCTGGCCTTCTGCTAGGAACAAGGACGCTACTAGTAACAAAGGGCATCGCTACTAGGACTAAAAGGGGGGTATCGATTTTTGCCGACCCATGCCGACCCTATCGTTTTTGAAGGCTTGCGTTGATTTGGGAATTAGCACTCCCGCACCCGCAGTGGCAGACTCCCACACGTGACACAAAGCGTTCTATGGCTAAAATGTTCTTTGCTAATACTGAGCTATCGTTTTGGGTGTCGTTTGCCATGCTGAAAATTCCGCTAAAACCCTGCCGTTTTGAGGCAACAAAAACAGGGAGGCAACATCCAAGGGACCGCAAAGGATATATCTTTCTCAAAGCATATATCAAACATTATCAGACTATATATTTATCAAACATAATGCCCAAATAAATGTAGCTAATCAAAATCAGGTATATATCGTTTTTGTTCCCCACCCTATCGTCCTTCAGGATCTGTACTACAATCACTAGCATGTTCAAACATGATGTCCAGGATCCTTTAAGCTATCATAAGGACATGTTTTGATAGGTGCTCCTATTATCCTATGGCGAATTGAGAGCAATGAGGAGCCAGCCTTCTTCCATCATCTCATCAGCTATCTCCGCACGCATCATCTCTTGCCTCATCTCCTCAATGTTGGTGCAAAATTTTATGACCTGAATGATATAAATAAGATTAAATAAGCGTCTGATGTATTTCACTATCAGTTGGAATCAAGGCTCCTCCATTGTCCGTTGAAGCTCTGGAACATTCATCAGCCTGACTACTTCTTCTTTGAGCAACTAGGACTCTGTCGAAGCTATTCGAGCCACTGCCTGTTCATCTCCTTCATCACACCAGACGACATCTTCAAAGCACTCGCTGTCGACATTGATGCCACGGCCTTCTTCTCAACTCTTCACTTTGGAAGCTCCGGTGTGAGTGTGAGCGACCATGCCTTTCTGTGATGCCATTAAATTATACATCAGACTCATCATCCATCATTCTTGGATGCTGACAGTGGTGAGATGCAAGTTGACAGCTGACATGGAACATTTGGTCCTGGCGCATGATGGGGGTCGCTTTGGATCATTTCAGGCTTGCGCTCTTGCAGCTCCTTTCCAGCCGCGCTACTGCCTTTCTGGAACGCACAACTTGCCGAGCCAAAGTTTTGACCTCAGAAAATGTGGAAAGCCAAATGAGAAAGGAAGTTACACAATGTTACACATTGCACATACTAGCACCGCTGACAAGAATGGGTGGTTGTGAGCCTACTGACAAGTCTTGTGCAGGTTCTGAGGCTGTATTGGTAGAAACCGGACTTGTTGGCTCACAAAGTAGGATTGAGTGTCAAAGGTTGTCCACAGGCGCATGCGGCCCTGTGCGGGACTCATGGGGAAGTAGAAAGCACAAAAAAACACAACAAATTCCACCGAATATCACCCAAACTCGTCTATGTGTGCAAAAGCTTTATGTGAGAACACTTCACGTGGCAATCCTGCAGATGAACTACTAGTAACTATTTCGAGTAGTGTCCAGTGTCAAGACCCCAAAGAAGTACTTGCTGGGACCGTCACACTTGCGGCCTGGCCCTTTTCAGCCATGGTCTTGATTTCCTTCTTGAGTTTCTCTTCTTCTTGGCCTCAAATCTCAAGCCGGCTGAATCAATAAATATATAGGAAACCAAGTCTCAAAAAGCAGGCAGCCATTTTGACATGCTGCAAACTCGGTGGGGTACGCATTCTGGACACATCACGGTCTATTCGGCGCGACTCGCCACGAATCTGTCTCTGCCACTCTCTGGCCTGGAAGCAAAGTTGGCAGAACCGCTTGCAAGAGGATACGACAAATCATTAAACCTTGAATTCAAAAGGAGGCAAAAACGTGTGTTCACTTTCTGAGTTTCTCCGAATTTGCAGATTGAAACTGAGCCTGATTGGCTTCAATCTTTGGCTTGGCTGGTGAGTGGGATTCGAGTTACCTACACTACGGCGTCTCCGTCGCCGTGCATCTCCCCTATGTCCAGCCTTCTCTTTGACTGTTTCCTCCTTTGACTTGCCATTCCCCATGGCAAGGGAATGCAAGGGATGTAGTCCCAACAAAACACAAGGGCAAAAGATAATAAACAAAGAGTCAAGCTTCAATCCATTCAGTTGCTTTGCGGTGCTGAGGTAATTACCTTGCCCTTGTTGCGAGACACTACTGTCTGTGGCTTGCTGTATGACCTCTGGGAAGTCGCTGTAACTGGTTGGAGGATTGTAGGATGGTATATTTATACTATATAATATAAGAGATCAGTAGACTGATAGACGTACGCAAGGATCCAACGATCAATGCACTGCGGAGAGCCATCAATTGTGGGGAAGTCATGCAATGTACAAATTGTGCAAAGTCATCAAAGTGCACTAGCCTTTCCACTGTCATTGTTTATTAATTCCTTCTCAAAGTAGGTCCTGCTCATCCTTTTGGCAACTTTCTTCGCGTGAAACAGGTCGTCACCATCTTTGACATGACCTCTACGTGCCGCTTTCGCGACACCAGAAACTGGAACAAGGTGTTTACTTTTTGGGGGGGTAGAAAATAGTAGCTTAAGTAAGTAAGCTACTACCTAGGACGCAGGATAGCTCACCGCACTATTCATTGTTTAGGACAATGATTCAAACGAGGCCCGGACATTCATCCTGCTTCAAATTGTCCCTGCCAAAGGAGTTTGGGGCCAAGCAGCGATGCATACAGCTTCTGTGCATTGAGCGCTATTCTACGTCCAAACCACACAAACATCCCAACAAACTTTGCACATGCATAATGTGGCCGCTGGAAAAGGACAGGTTTGATCCTGCATTCTTGCACACTATACTCATGATGGCCATCCCTTCAGCCAGGACTTGCCCAAATAGACATTCTTTTTCAAGCTGGTTTCGCGGTTTCGGGACTGGAGATCTCCAACGCATGGCCATGGGACCGGGTTTCCTCTTTCCAATTGGCCGAGGTGACCCTGGCCCTCACCAAAACTTTGAGCTTCTCGATTCCAACAAAGCGGGACATTTCATCAGCCAACAAACGTTTTGCTTACCCAACATGAGACGCCCAATGTGTTACCAACAGGCACAATCTTGGCAACAGTCCCTGGGAAGGGTTGAAGCTTATTCTGGGGCACAAAATGCGTCGGTGTTCTCCATGCACGAGCAAGTGAGACAGACCTCTTATCCTGGAAACTGTAGAGCTCGCAATTCCTGCGATACTCTAGTCAGTCTTTCCAGAATGCTCTGACATTCTCCATATTCTGACTGAAACAGCTGCACAGCTTGCAGGGTACTGCACAGCTCTCGACTTAGTTCCTGCGATGCGATGCTGCAGTTTCCAACAAAAACCAACCATTCTCACAGATTTTGAGTGGCGGCTTTGAGTTCCATATGACAAGAACCTTTATCAGGTGCTCAGCAGGAACATATCTGATCATCTGGATTCAAGCTCCATTTCGGAGTCTGTCCAGGGCACAAATTGAAAAATCAAGCGAACCTCTGGATATTTATAACCTTCGTTCATCTTCGTTCAACGTCTAGAAATCTGCAGTTGAAGTCCGGATCAATGCACCGCCAACCTGATTTTGTGCACCGATCCACCCATGGCGGTTGCCTTCTGTCCAGTCAGACTCGGTCATGTCGATGAACGTCTTCCGCACGACCATGTCACAAGAGCGCTGCACGAAGCATGCGCTTTTGGGCTTTGGATCAGAATGCTGGAATCGAGCGTCGTGTGCTTCACCCACACGCGGAGCACTGACGCCGCCATTCATTCGCCTGTATGCTCTCTGTTGTTTGTGGAAAGCGGCGATGACTTGATCTTTGCACGATTCCCACTCATGCGTCAGAACAGCCACTTGATATGGAACAAGCTTCCTGCCACTCAGTTCTGTGAACACGTTCAATTCAATTTCACAACGAGCCAGCAGTTGTCGAAGGTAGGCTTCAAACGTGAAAGTACTATCAGACCATCTAACCCAGTAGGAATCGGATCCGTCTTCACCAGAGATTACAACGTAGGTTGAACTGTCTGAATCTTTCGTTATTTCATCTTGAGAAGGTAGCAGCGGCACCCCCCGATTGCAACCTCTCAAATGCAGAACAGTGTAGTATGTTCTATCAACCTCACAAAGCCGCGGCAAGTCTTGTGCCTTCAAGTACTTCATGAAGTTGTTTTTCTCCATATTTGCTAACTTTGAGAAATGCTGTGTTGCCCACGTCGGGTATGCTGAAAAGGGCAAGAACATCACATGGGCCACGATGACTTTGCCAGGGTCCTCATGCGGCTGAACAGTCAGTGTGTAGGCCTTGACTGCCCCAACCTGAAAAACAACGGTGTGCCGACGCCCAAGTGGCAACACCACCATAGCAGCCATGCCACGCTCAGGTACGTCTTTTCGCACAATCATTCTGGCAAGGTAACTGTCCCAACCACTATGATCTTGACCGTCTTCCTTCTCATGTTGCACAGATGGACTCTCCAAGATCTGTCTCATAGCATATCCCCGCAAGCTAGACTCAGTCTGTTCACTTGCCAGTTCGATAATTGCATCACCTGGATTGACCTGGTGTCTGTACTGTGCCTGGAGCAAGCCAGTGATGTCTGACATACTGCGGCTTGAAACTTCTGGGCGAATCATGAGTTCATTGGCAGGCAAATGAGACGAGACCACGAACTTCAAACGGGTCATGCAAGATCCACAACCTGAAAATCTGTAGCAAATTTGACCATCATGGTCTAATGCATCCTTATCAAATTTCTTCTGCACGTTCATCCAACCATCTTCATTGGTGGCTTCAAGGATATGAACAAAGAAGTCCTCAACATCAAGACTAGGCGATAACTCATCGATTGGCGTCTTGGGAGGTGGCATCTTGGCCACAGCTAATCACTTGCTGTCACTTGAACCACATCTGACAGTACCAGGTATCAACGTGAAATGGACAACAGCTTCTGCTGAATGCTGAACCACTGATGCAAGAATTGAATCTATGAGACCTGAATCACGCTGCGGAAAGGCTCAATCAAACCTGTAACTCCCTAGAACATGGTGTAGCTCATCGGTCCTGCGCGAAGAGCTTCTCGTCAAAGAAGCGGGCTCGTACCGTCCTCCCTCCGAAGTATCGGCCGTTGAGGTCCGCAAAAGCCTCCGTCAACCGGGCTTGATTTCTCTTGCGCTCTCCTTTAAACATTTTGTACTTGATTTCTACATATCCAACACATGTCCTGCTAGTAACATGAACTTGAAACCTTGCTAGTCTCTTGGCACGTTTACTCTACGGCCATCTGTCAGCGTATTTCATGCGAGTAGCTTCAGGCAATAGATTGAGCTTCGCAAGTTTACCTTCCAATGCCCTTGTTACTAGTAGCTTCTTGTTCCTCGTAGTAAGGCCAGGAGCCCCTAGTAGCATCCTTGCTCCTAGTAGCGATGCCCTTGTTACTACAGATGTCCCAGCCCTTGGAGTCATATCTGCCGTGCCTTTGTAGCAGCCGCAACGTCCTCGTACTCCAAAAATATCCGAACGGCCTTTGCTGCTCATTCTCAAACCAAACGTGTGCTTAAGTTCACCAGACAGCGTGCGCACTGCGTAGCTTCAAGCCGCATACATATTCAATTCATTTTTGGCACGCCACCTCGTCGTCGGATTTGCCAGACAGCTCTTTGACGACGCACCTTGCAAGCAAAAGCATTCAGGTGCAGCAAAGCCGTACCTGACCCACTTACAACTCCGAGGGTCAAGCTTTTTGAGCTTGCCATACTTACTGGCCTCCTCGGCTGTTTCTTCTTCAAGGTCCTGAGAAACTTGTTGCATGAAACAGGGTCGCACTTCGCGCGTGCTGCCTCATCAACATCACCTGCGCCAACCATATTGTTCAGCAACAGCACCCGTGTTGGGGGCCTTAGCGCAGTGGCAGCATGAGATACCGAACTGGCCGTGATTCAATCGTTGATGACTGGGGTATGGTGATGGTCTTTGGTACAACTCTGGCCTATCCCATCTGCCTCAATCAACTTGAATTGAACTACAGTAGCGATTAGCTACGGCACACCAGTGGCTCCACAAAAGCCAGCTTCCAGAAACATGGAAGGCATATGAAGGCATACAAATTACAGTAATCAATCGATGTCTATTTCGCATGGCCGTGAAAATGATGCTGCTGCGCTCTACAGTGTGAGAACATGCAATTGGGCACCACACAGGGTTGGTGCGGCTTTGGCCTGATCACCAATTCGACGGACCATCCACACTAGGTTTCTGAGCATTTCTGGGCTTCTCCAGAGTTGGACCAACAGAACAAATGTGTAATCTGTCCAGATCTGTACTGATGCCGACAGTTTAAATCTTTCGAACGACACCCTTCAAAGAAAGGATAGGACAGATAGGAACCCTTTGACCTGATAACTCCATGTCAAAAGGAATGGTCCTTGAGGCACGTTAACCTCTTTATCCTTTTAACTGTATACATATCAGTTTGCTGAACTTTGCTCTGTCAGCCCGCCGACATCTCAAGGCTACCCAAGTGAGAACCGAGGTGGAAAAAAATAGCTGAAGCAAATCAGAACATCTTATATAGACAGGTTGCCGTTTCCTACTGCTGTCAAGGAGGCTTGTGACAAAAACAGAGCTGTGCTCAAACAAACTTCATCGCTAAAACTCCAGCAGCCATTCCGAGAATGCAAGCTGTCAACCCCCCTGGAGAAAGGCCATGCGTTCCTGGCCTGTTTTTGATCTGGCTGACCTTGAGGTGGTGATGGTGCCTGGCAACCAAGCTCAGGGATGCTAGGAGCACAAAACGCTTCATCTCGCCCTGGCCTCCCTTTTCGAGCTCCCCTCAACAATGCGGCCAGTTTTCTGGTCAGTCTTCTGCATGACCTCATCCATGCCATCCAAAGCTCTTGATGAACCCTAAGCAAGTAACCTGTAGATCTCTTGGCTTCTGAGATGCTGAGCACTCTGCCAAAGGATTTGCCATACCTTGCCCCTCCTTTCCAAGACCACCTCCCTCCTTCCAACCTAAGACAGGTCATTTGCATCAACATCTTCAGTTCGGGAAGTTTTGACACAACTTGGCATGTAGATCAGTGGGAATCCATCCACTGTGAGATTCAACCCATTTTCTTCATCATCTTTGTTGCAAAGTCGTCCTGCGTAGAATCAAAATTGGCTGCGGTCTCTCCCACATTAACACTCAAAAGCCATCATACCGTTGCTTTGAAGCTTTGTTTTTTCAATAACATCATATATTTATACACACATCATATCGAGATATATTTAGTGAATGTATGTGCATCTTCCGTTGATAAGATAGGTGGTGCAATGGCATGACTTGATGAGGTGAAAGCCAACATGCTTAAACGTGAATAGAAATACCTTGATGACCTTTAGGCCGTGTTGTAATTGTGCGAGAGACATGTTAGGGTCAATTTCATCTGGCATTCCAAGCAAATCGAAGACCTGTCTTCCCCCACATGTCAAGCACGTGATGTATTCTGACTCTATTTAAGGACAACTTCTTGAGCAAAGGTTGAGTCCTCTTTGGGTGGAGCTGGCTTGTTGCTTTGTTGTTGTCGAGCGAGAGCATCCTCGTTCACCAATCTGTTTCCATTTGACGAACAATGAGATGCTTGTCACTGGCTCAAGTGATGCCAGGAGCCCCTAGTAGCGTCCTTGGTCCTAGTAGCGATGCCAGGAGCCCCTAGTAGCGTCCTTGCTCCTACTGTCCTGCCGTCTTTTCTCCATCTCCTCCTCGGCTTTTTGCCTCATCCTGACACGACGGGACAAAGGGTGTTGATTGGCTGAAAGCATCCTGTCGGCCAATCGGCCTTCAAATAATCGTTCGGCAATTTTCGGCAACACTTAGTCAGCCATGCAAATGCCATACCAACGTATGAGCCATCATGCACCTATACCATGGACTGCTTGGATAAGCATAATATTCTGGTGTGCACATACCCCCAAGAAATTGTGAGTATTGAGTGCATAATTCAATTAACTCCAAAAACTACAGACTCTTTTTTGGTTTCATATGTTTCATGGGCTTTCGACCAATAAAGTCCTTCCCAGGACCTTTTGAACACTCCCATGTACTTCCACTCGACTACCTCTACTGCTGGATTTGACTACTACTATTGATAGAGATTGATAGGAAGTGCGCTGCTAGTCGATACCATTTGAAGTTTCTACCCTGCCGGCACCCCTGGGGACTACAAGAGATCCGAGACTTCCGCTTGATGACTTGCGCCTGCGACGACAGAACTCATCGTAGTCGTTGGGCTTGGCAGGATCGTACTCCTTCGACAACTCAAGCCCGCCAGGCACATCACACATTGGCGCTCAGGTTTGCCGCTTAAACTGGCACCTCATTGGGGTCGCCAAATAGGTTGGCAGCCTCGGTTAAGGTTTGTTAAGTTTCCCTAAACATCTAGGAACCAAATAATTTGTGCGAGCGCTTGAGCTATCCGTCCTAGCTAGGAGTAACCACTCCCTTAAGTAAGGAGGCACCTACTAGCGATGGACTCCAACCCAAGAGCGATGACCTCCAACCTAGGGAGGCAGGGCCACCGGCTTTAAAAAACAAAGTGATACTGTAGTCCAAGCTGCTCCGGGAGCAACGCTTGTGGTAGGGACATTTCTAGCAGGGTTGTTGTGTAGCAAACGAACAGCAGCTACTAGCTACTGGTATATAACCCCTGTACAAGGCATCGGCTATCGGCTCGCTCAGCGCTGCTTGCACCTGGCATGACCGTTGAACACACACGAAGAAATCACAAACCTCTCACCAATGACTCTGATGACTCCACGACTACAAAGAAATCACACATCCAAGAAAGCCACCGGTCACCAGCAATTTGACTCCATTGGTTCCATTGGTTAGAATCGCTTAGCCAGTGCGACCGGAGACCCATCACTTTCAGGTGGTCGGGCCTGCGGAGTTGCACACCCAGAATGGCTCGGAATGATACCCAGAATGGCCGAGCTTTTGGCAGAGCTGGGCGCAGAAGTGGACACCTGTGAAGCCTACACCGGACAAATTCCCCCAAAGTGTGGCTACTTTAGCCTCTGTTCCAGGCCTGTGCTCTGCTGGTCTCAGCTGCTGCTCTTTGCTTCATGAGGGCTTCCTTCTCCTGACATATCAAAGAATAACCACGAAACAGTCAATTTATATATTGTTTCTACTAGCTTCTTGTTACTACTAGTAAGGCACGTGTTACTAGAAGCGATGCACTTGTTCCTAGTAGCTTGAATCCATGGGCCATGAATCCAGGGGAGGTCGTGAAAAATGTCACTCCAATTCTGAGAGATCGACTGCAGCCAGCTTTGAGAGGTCCAAGGCTGGCATGGATGGCTTCCTTACTGGCTCCACCTCAAAGGTGGGCCGGCAAGCTTCCAAGCTTCATTTACAAAAAACAAAAACACACACACACACAAAATGCAGCACCAGAATAAAGCAGTGTTCAGCACACCAACCTTCTTCCGCACAGGTGGCATCATCAGCTTCGCGGCTGAGAAGGTCTGAGACGCATGCCAACTCGTGCTCAACCATGTTGACAGTGACAACATACAGCAATATAACATAATTATGTCCAGTGATGTATAGTTTGATGTGTGAAGGCCTGTGGAAGTGGAGCGCTGCTGGGAGGACCTTTGTCCTTCAAAAACAACCAGTGGCTGAAACATTGCTGTAATGACGCGGCATACCCAAAGCCACGGGATTTTGTGCACCCGTTCACCTCCATCTTCTTTTCAACTGGCTTGTCAGCAGCAGGGGCAGCTGCCTGCCACACGCCCAACAATCACTACATGCACACACTTACTGTACTTGTAGCCTACCTTCCAAAACAAGTTCCACTGTTCCACTTCAACATATAACTCACTGTAGTAATGTTAACTTTGAGCATGGCTGCTTGTTTGACTGGCGGTTTAAACACACTACGTACAGTAGCCAATGTGAAAAGTGTTGTCTTAAGTGGACATTGACCTGGGTCACTCAAGGTGTCCTTTTTGTGGTCGATATCACAAGGGTTCAAGGGGCGTGGATAGGTGCGGCCTGCAAACTGGCGAACTTAAGATTCTCCCTGGACAGTCTTTGAGTATCTTTGAGTGATTGGTGGAGAACTTGAAAAGGCTTCCAAAAAATATGGATTGATCACTCTAAATGACTATTGAGTATCTTCTTTGCATCTTAAGAGAAGTCAACGTCGTATATGTCGTTTACTGTCAAAACTCGAATGAACAAGCCCAGAAGCTCATCCAGCCCACTGACGCGTGTTTATAGGCCCAATATAGAAACATACATAAAATCAGCGGAACAGAGTTTCCTCCCCTTTCTCACTGTGTCTTATTCATTTTTGTTCATCAGCACAGGTGCGCGGCTCTCTTTAGCAGCGAAGTGACACGGTGACACAACATTGCAAGCCCTCCACCTCTCTCAGCAAGTCTTGCTCGAAGAATCCAACGTTGCGGTGCAAACTTGCTCAGCAGCTCTTCCTTCAAGTGCTTGTTGCGTGAGGCCGCTCTGCGGTGTAACCTGAATCTCGCAAGCCTGACAGCTCTGCAACTTTGCGCTCTTCCCTCCTGGTAGGTCATTCCTCTGAAGAAATGACTTTTGATCCTGCTGCAAATGCCGCCGTAGGCATCGAAAAAACATCCTCCACAAACACCTGGACGACCAGTCAGAAGTCCAGCTCGAGGGCTATGGCTGTGTGCGTCTTGAAAACTATCCTTTTGGACGAGATTTGCCTCGCCCTCGCCCTCCCTTGCCAGCAGACTTGCCAACTGGAGCGTCAAGTGGTGGTGGCCCAGCAGGCGGAGGCAGCGGAGGATCTTCGTCGGGAACTGCGCTTTTTCTAGCTTCAGGCCCTTCAGGTTTTGCATAATCCGCTTCTTTGCCTCAGCTCAATGGCGCGCACATTTGAGCATCGCTATGGACCATGTTAGTCATTAGTCATACAACAACATACCGTAGCCATCACGCTTGTATGATTATGTGTCTGTCGGTGTGTGAGTTTTTGAGAAACCTTGTTCCAAACCGAGGCGGGGGTAGAACAAACACCAAGACCACAACAAACCAAAAAGCTCAAACATGTACGTATATATATATATATTTATGTGTCTTTGTCGTGCGTGTGTGGCACCAGCCGACTCCAACAGTAGGGACACTGCAAAATGACCCTGTCTGCTGCGAGGAAATCGGAGCAATAATTGGGAGGTACAGTACCTTTGTCACTGGCTTTTATGCTGCTGCCGGGGCAGTTGTTTGCTTTAGCAACCAACAGGAGCCCTGCTTGCTTGACCGGGGCCAATTTACCTCCTTGATTTGAAAAGGGGATGTGTCACGACAATGATCTCTTCAAACGAACAATCTGTAAACAGAAACGCCAAATGTTGTCCTGTAACATGATCAACAGAATGGCAGGGCATCTACGGAGCCGTCCAGGCTGATGCCAATGCACAGGTTGTTGTATGCTGTGGCATCGTCATCTCATGAACACGTTGCAGGTTCTATACTATCTTTATCCCTTTTCAGATCAAAAGGATGCACTGGCAGCAAAATCTACCTGCATCGATTTTGCAGCTGCAAAGACTTTGTTTGAAGGGAATGATCCAAGGGTAGCTGTGCAAAGTCAATATTACCTTGGATGCATACACTTGGATGCATGTATCAATGTGGGAAGCATGCTTGCCAAATATCACCCAACAGTCGTTATCTGTGCTGTTGGGGCATTGTGAGCATGGGAAGAGCAAAAAGAAATCAATCTTTCACAAAGTTCTGCTTCCTTAGAACGAACTGTCAGGCCTAGGTAACGTAGATGGACTTGGTTTTGGATGTGCTACACATCGTGAACTTGTTTAGGACCATCAAAGAAACAACTCGTCAAAGTGCTAAGTCAGATCCATGACAAAGTCATCTGGAATTGAATAGCAGGGATACAAAACACATCATAACATATCATAACACTAAAGGCCTGGCTGTGGCAATTGGGCTTCCGACTGGGAGTCAAATCTGCAGCCCCCTTCTTCACATCCGGAGTCTTTGCCTTTTCTGAAGGTAAAGGACTCGGCTTTACAGCTTCCTTCGCTTCCTTCTTCACATCTGCCGCATCTGTCCTTTCGGGGACAACATTTGACTTCTCAGCTGCTGGCCCCACATCAGTATCTGTCTTTTCAGGAGCTGAATCACTCGACCTCGCAGCTTCCTTCTTCTCATCTGCAGGAGTATCTGTCAATTCGGGAGCTAAAGCACTCGACTTCATACCTTCCTTCTTCATATCTCCAGTAGCATCTGTCATTTCGGGAGCTGAAACAGTTGACTTCACACCTTCCTTCTTCATATCTCCAGTAGCATCTGTCATTTCCGGAGCAAACACACTAGTCTTCACATCGTCCTTTTCCGCATCTGTGGATTTCAATTGCGCCGCTGCTTCAAACGAGTGTTGTTTCTCAGCACTCTCCATCTTCAACCGCCTTGGCAACCTGCAGCTTGCATCTGACTCTTTTGATGTGCAGGATAGCCGATCATGGTACACAAGTGACACATTCGGGGCGATGCTTGGCTCTGCTGTCGGCTCAGTTTCTTTCTGTATGCAGCTGCAACTGGCGGACCATACCAACCCCATGGCCCGAGTGATGACACTTTAGGAGTCTTGAGACAGGAACATGTCTGTCTGACGTGTCTGCAAGGTCAATCTTGACTCAAATTCAGAAACGTGAATGCACAATGTAATCAGCACGGTGCACAATGTCGGATTTTAAGTGGACGTCTCATAATATGGCACCTGAAACCAAACAGCTGCGACGGCCCTCGCAATGCAATGGCGCAACTTTCCAGCCATGTTTTTTGGGCCACGGACTTTCAAAGTTCAAGTCGAAGCGATTGGCAACATTTTGCTACGGTATTTATTGGTCCGGTGTAGTTGCCTTGGGCTCAGCAAAAATATCATCTCCTTCACCCTTTTGCTTGTCTGCAGCAGATGTATCTGCGCCTCAATGCTGGGATAAAAATGAAGGACAAGCGTTCTTTCAACGTGCACACCGAGACAAACTCTGCGTGACATCTAATCAAAGCTTGTGACCAAGCAAATTTCCGTACAGGGAATCAAGCATTACGCCTTGGAACTGACAACTGATCGGACAATTGTCTTCATCCTAGCATCTTTTATCTTGAGCTCTGTGCTTTTGGGCGACGGCCAAGTGGCCCTGTCTTCAAACGATCTAAGACCCCCATCTCATTCTGCTAATCAATGGCTGCAGGTATGGTATGGCAAGCTGATCTGCAAGGACAGAACAGAATACTGGAGGGCCCTTGCAAAGAGGCACTTTGAGGCGATCTAACTTTTTCCTCAAAATCAAAGGCAAAATGTACAAGAAATGCCATACCGTGCACCTCGGAAGAAACAGGCTGAACGCGTTTCAGCGTTTCTCGGCATACGGGAGAAACGGCCAACAGCCAAGAGCGGCCAAGGACTCCACGATTTCGCGGTGGCAGGCCTTGATGCTCCGAAGAGTCCTGGGTAAAATAACTAAAGTAACTAAAGGTAAGGGATGTATGGGGATAGTATGGTATAGCAAGGGCCTCTTATACCGTCCTTAAAAATCTAAGGCTGTACCTTGGCACATGCAAGGGATCTGATTTGATTCCACGTCTCTACGCACTAAGTCGCTGGCCATGTCCCAAACGACCGCAAAGCCTTCGCGAGCCCTCACCTGAGCGAGAACATAGATAATATAGCAACAAAGTAACATACAAACAAATGCAAGTCCTTCCATGCATAATATAGTTCTGTCTTGCAATTTGTCAGTAGCAGCAATGAAGGACGCTACTAGTACAAAGAAGCTTGCAAAAATAAATGCGCACTGGAGCCCAGCCTGGAGCTTCGACTTCACAAACAGCAGCTCTCCGGCACCATCACTTGGTATGTCCTGAATCTAACATGGCGAAACCGAGTTGCTCATACCAGCTGAAACCTAGGCTCTGGGCATGCAGAAATAGATACACAGCTCTGCAGGGTTTGACCTGAAAACGGATCAAACAAGTTGTCACGAGAGCGTTGAAACGGTTTTATTGAAAGATATTGAAAGTATCTAAAACTTCAACAAGAAACAACTGTGAGACTGTTAGCCAGGGCTCCCAACTTCCTTAGGTCGGGAGACCACAGATGCGCCACTCAAGGCCTCTCAACGCTCACAAAGTCGTCTCGACTTATTTGGTTTCTTCAAACCAGAAGCTTAGCATGAACTGGCAGGACATTGCCTTTTTATAGCAATCTTGTTTATACTATAAACTGTAATACACATATTTCAACAATAAATTTCAAAAACTCAGAACCTGGGAGGGCAAGACGCTGGAGATACATGGAGATACTGCAACATCATGTAATATCTTAATGTTGGATCCTGGTTCGTAAAAGGGCCCTCTATAATGCTAAAATTTCCAAAAACAAGTTCTGGACACAATGTTTGTTTTAAGGGTCCTCTATTATGCTAAAATTTGGGGATCCTGATTTATTTACTATCTGAAAAATCACTAGGGTTTCAAATCATTCGGAGACCTGTGAGTACTAAGTCAATGCGTGGCCTGCTCAAAATATTGATAAGTATAGGTTTCTCTAGTTCTTCTTCAAAACTGACAGCTTTCCAAAGCCATCAATTCCTTAATCAATTCTTTATGTAAAGATTGCTCCTAAACAAACTTTCAAGGTAGTAGACCAGAAAGGCCCCTGATCCTCAATAATAAGTTTGCTTTATTGGCCGTGAATCGGGCAGTTATTTCAGGAAGAATAAATAGGCATAGTAATTCTCAATACTACTAAGCCAATGCCTGGCTTGCTGAGAGTATTGATAAGTATACAGTAGGTTTCTCTAGTTCTTCTTCAAAGCCGCAAAGAATTCTTAGTAGTAAGAAAGTCTTGCTGAGAATATCTAATTACAAAGAACCTGAGAAAGGAAACTGAATACTACCATCAATTACAAAAGGAATCCTCCCAGGAACCCAGATTTGTTTTGGTGGTAGTTTATTTGTATTAGGACCTCCATCTAACAGGGTGGAATCCCTTTTACTAATCAGGATCCATCATGAGTTTGGTTTAAACATAGTACGCTACTAGGAGCAAAGGGCATCGCTACTAGGAACCAACAATGCTGAACCAACTTAACAACTTTGCCTCAGCCGGCAGGCGTCTCAACTCCAAGTCTCCAAGTGGAGGCTGCCCCGGATCACCTGGTAGACCGTTGTGATTGGGCAAATACGTCCAAGGAATCATAAGGAATCCAAAACAACATCAAAACACAGGTCAACGAAAGATTCGATTGATCAACCAATAAATCAAACATGCCTGCTGCAGCTGCTAATCTCCCTTCCAGGTCTGCCATTAACTCCTGAATATCCCTGGCAATGTGCCATTGCATGCAACCAAATTGAAGCATATTGAAGCAACTGCTCGTCGCTCAGTATGACTGCCACATCTTCCAACGAGTCTGAGGGTCGCGCTCCCCCTCAGGAACTCTCCAGCCGTTTGGAGGCACACGCCCCTGCTGCCTGTCCATCAGGTCCATGAGACGGCCTTCCATTGCCGCACATTGATGCTCAGACTAAATCAACTTAACACAGCACAGAATTCATTTAGTAGAGACAGGTGCACACAAACGCCGAATAAATGAATCGATGTTTTAACTCTGACTTGATTCGGCATGGAAACTTACCACCATGGTACCGCGCCAGCTTCTCTTGTGTCCACCACATTTGGAACTATCCACCTGAACACGGCCAAACGCAACAATTGTAGTCAGTTTGGCTACATAAGCATCCATCTAGGAACCAAATGAATAGTGCGAGCGTTTGACACCCGAGGATGCCGAACAGCTGCGACCCTTGTTCCAAAACGCGCTCCGAAATGGTTTGGAGCCTGTGGAAGTCTTATTGTGAGCTTGTGGGTGCATGGTCCGATGCATCAAAACGTCAGTCGGACTCTCAATATCCCATCAGCAGCAAGGCAAATCGCAGGCAGTTGAACCGCAAGGATCTGAGGCACCTAAGGGGTGCTATGTGACCAAGGCCCTTGCCCAGGTTTTGGTGAACACAGCGCAATGGGGAAAGACCAAGGTTAACTTCGGCAGGCTCAAGTCCCGCAATTGGTCTTACATGGACCTTTGCAATCAACAGAAGAGGAAGCCAAAGGGTATGTGAAGTGGTGCCGAGCTAGAGCCCACTCAGCTGGAGGTGAGTTGAAGGATTTGTGCGCCTTCATGATACCCGTTGAATCGTTGGACTCAGGAATTTAATTGAAATATATTTAAATCCTTCCGGGCTGACGTCATTTCTTGTTTTAATGTGTTCCAAGGTCGACGGTCAATTTTTTTAACTGAGATTCTGTCGTGTTAAAATCCTCGGGCCGACGTTTTATTAAAATCCTTTCCCAACCCTTGATGATCGCATCTGACAGCAGATCCTCACAAGTATCACCCAAAATCTGTATTTTTCCTTCCGCAAAACCTTTCCTTCCTCAAATCCACCCACACTCCATCCACAAATAATGTCCGTGATATGTGTGTACTTGAGCATGTCAAACATGTACAAACCACTTGATCACTTTGTCATGTCTTGTGTGTGAAGGGGCCCGGCTGGTCATGTCCTGGTTCCGACTATTGGCCTGGCATTTATTTAGGCACAATGATATAATATGAGGACATGCATGTTCTTGAACAAAACAACGGCCATACACCGAGGTCGGACAATTGGAACGGGTCATCGGGCCTCGGTTAACGAAAAACATCCGGCATGTACCGAAATCGGTGCTTTTTGGTGCCAAGGATCAAGGAAACGTCCCACAATTGAGCCCTTTACAAGGCTCTCTTTTCACTAAACAACCAGATATATTTGATATATCTGCTTTTCAAGCCAAAACATGCTAATGATGCAGCTGGCCGCGGGCAGCATCATTCAAACCACGTCAACTCAAAACATGAACATTGGCATGTGCCTCCGTTAACTCCTCAGTCACTCAAGGGTAGTATATTACTAAAATCATACCTTGACCCTGTGCAAGCAATCACAAACAGGGAAAATCATGCATTACTAAATTCCTGGCCCAACATACCATGTGGCCATCAATTTTGCTGGTATGTTGTTCCAACATGCTTATGGGAATCCTTGTTCCAATCTTTTCTTTGTGGCTGGTTTTTCGCATCGGATTATTCGCCTGGACGCAGCTGGTTTTCGGGAACACATATTTTGGCCGGGGTTGACCCCTAGGATTTTTAATATAGATTATCTAACGGTTATTTCATGTATTGGTTTGAGATGGAGAGCTCTCACAGCTCTTTGCACACCGGAGAGTTGATCCCCGGTCTGGATCACGACGTGTCTTCAAGTGAGGTATGAAGACATGGAAGGAGAACCGCTGTGATGAAGAAAACATGCTGGTCACTGGTGAATGAATCAATGTTTCAGAACATTACAAAGCTGGAGAGATTATAAGGAGTGTTGATTTCAGCATTAATGCCATCCCGTTCACCTTGGTTCTCACTTCTCGCATCGCAGGGACCGCAATGGCTCAGGAAAAGGGCCGAGCGCGCCCGTTCGCGTCGATCGGATTCGACCCGGTTTGTGTTTTGACACATATATATATATTAAACTATATTATATAATATTATATGGGAGTTGATCTAAATTCTTTTATCTGGGATCCGTCATTTTCGCCAAAAAAAATACTTTCGCCAAACTTTTGCCTTCCTGCGTTTTATCTTTCGCCGAAGTACGTCGTATTTATGTGTGCCATGTATGTTGTGTTTTGTTCACGTCAATGGCTTCTTCTTTACTGGCAAACACAAAATAGAAACTTCACTGTTTGTCAGCATGTGTCTTCTACTTAACTGTTGACACCCAGTACGTCTCTTTTGTTTCTCCTGGGTGTCAGCAAGAATCAAAATTGCAAGAATCACTGTAGTAGCCGGTCACTCAAACTTACTCATAATGGGCTGGGGGTCAGATGTGGCAGGGTGAACTTTCGCCAATCTTGAGCTGAACTTTCGCCAAACTTTCGCCTTTTGCGGGGTAGAGTTTTGTGGCAAAGCCACCCCCCAAAGCAGGAGCAGGAATAGTAGTAGTAGTAGTAGTGGTGGTAGTGGTAGTGGTCGTGGTCGTGGTCGTGGTCGTGGTCGTGGTCGTGGTCGTGGTCGTGGTGGTGGTAGTGGTAGTGGTAGTCGTAGTCGTAGTAGTAGTAGTAGTAGTAGCAGCCGCAGCAGCAGCAGGTTATCTAACTTCCACAGCTTATCTAGCTTCTGAGTCACTGCCACCAGCTGTTCAGAAAGCAAATGAACATTCATACAAAAGTACATATTTAATCTTTCGCCAGATCTTTCGCCAAAAAAAATATATAAAAAAAATACTTTCGCCAACTCGAGGAAAAACTTTCGCCAAATGAGATTTTGATATGTTCCGGGTCATCGTCATGCACACTGCTGACTAGGACCTTTAGATCGACAACCATATACACAATTGTACACACAGTTTTGTCATGGCCACACTTGCCGCTTGCTTGAATGGCCAAAGGCAAGCGTAAGACGTAAGATTTGATTCCATGAGTTATTCTGTGCTTCTGAGTTCTGTGCATGGGGGGATCCTGCGAGATACGAAGTCTCCGCAAGCAAAGGCCTTACAGGTCATTCCCGGCATGAAGGATACGAAGTCTGGAGTCTGGAGGTCACTTGAAGCCTGGTCCTTCGTGCTTTTGCTTAGCCTCAGACAGAATTCCAACGTTTATGAAACTTTGCTTGATTGGAAGAGGACTAAAAGGAAAAACATCAAAAACAATCCAAAAGCAAATAACATTGAACAAATGTCAAGAAGCAAAACCTCCAAACTCCATGACCTAAGGCATCCTGCCGGATAGCGTGAAGCAATTTCCGCCGGGTCCAAAGTGGTGATCTTAGCACCTAGCAGCTGTCACAGCTGTCAGCACGGCCATCTGTCCAGCGCATGGAAGAATTGAATCTCTTGGTTGTACTTGGGCGGTTGAGCTTGCAACTAAATGTTGTGGGTGAGGTGGTTGGCGTTGATGGATCAGAACCTAAAGTCACAGTGCACTGGAACTTTACCTCTAACATCGCCATGGCATCTACTGTGCCGGCCTGAGCCTTCAACAATGAAGCGTCGCATGGGCTTGTCATTGAAGAAACAATTGACACCTGTCGCGACATGTGGAGATGCATCCGGTGTACAGCTGTGCCATGTGGCCACTAAACGTCGCTAGGCCCGCTAGGTTGGAAGCTATTAGGCTGGAGGCCATCGCTAATATGTTGTTTTTCATATTTGCATGTTTATCATTGAGGAGCTGACCATACTTTATGGCAGATTTGGGTGGCAACCCTTGGTGCACCTGCAAAAAATCATCAAGCGCATCATGGGCCGCATGGTGGTCAACTGAACTTATACAAAAACATCTTAAATATCAATATCAAGTATCAAGTTGTGGAACTCTGAATTGGGAGTGCACGCAGCATGTTCTGGGCGATATTCAATCCGCTTGATGAAACGTGTACTAGCATGCATATCGAAGACTTTGGCCGATGCAACTCCTACAGCCAGGCTTGCAGGGTCTGCAAAGAAGTCGTTCACCGTTCACTTCTCTGCATGGAACATTGGACCCTCCCAGTACATGCCGTGCTCACACTTCGTGTTCCGAGCGGCACGCAGCTGGCACATGCAGGATCTGCAAGGGCAAAAGAACACTGTCCTTGCTACACACAGTCATGCTTACCATTCTCAAAACCAGAATGGGCACGTCTGTGCATCCCTCAAATTCTTCAAATGCGAGCACAGCATCCAATTGACCATCTAGCCCCCAGCAAGCAAATCACCGACAAGTTGAAACTCCTTTCTCACGCCTCACCTCACGAGTTGTTGCTCCACATAAACCATGATCACCATCTCGAGTGGAGCAGGAGATCTGATGAGCATTCATTCCTGTCCCATGGAAAGGGCGTATGTTTGATGCTTTGTCGTCAAACATGTAGACCTGTGATTTGCGTATTCCAAGCTCTTCAGCCATCTTTCTTGCTTTCTCAGCCTTGCAGCCTCGATTGCAGCTGAGCACGTTCTGTGGAACCGGAATGTTGGGGCGGGCACGATGATGAGCACTGATGCCGCGAATATGACATTCTTGACCACACCACGTGCCCCAAACATATTGACCCAAGTGAGACAAGGTCACCTCACCTCCACCATAGGCATCATCATAACCACCTACGACTTTGTTGGCAGGGCATCGTCGAGTGTCTCCTTGTTTTCCAGTAAGTGTTCGATCCACATCAAAAATGCAAAGGCAGTTCTTGGACTTCGCAAATTCACCGCTTCTCGTTGTTTCGTTGAAGGCCGATTCCATCCCTAGCGCTTTTGCAAACGCGCGGAACCCCTCCAGCAAATATCCTGTCAAATTCTCAGGGCTGAGAGAGTTCTGCAAGGATGAGTGATTGCCTCAGATCGTCATTCAGTCATGGATCCTACATACAGAGTAGAGTGTACCACAAGAAATTGTGGTCCAACCGCCCAACAGCCACGGTTTGTGGCCGATGATCTTTCACTAGATAGTATAATTACTTGTGTTGGTAAGCGGGCGCAACTCACCAGGTTCGGGCTCTCAAGGTCCCGATGCAAAGTCGTCCACGAAGTACCGCGATCACGCGGCAGCTTTTCCAGCGGCCATTGGCGTCAGAAGGCTAGCGCCCCACCACTTTGGTTTGAGGCGGCAGGGTGACAAATGGTCATGTCAAGTACCCTCATGATGTGCGGCGCACATTTCACACAGGTGAAAAAGAGGGTCAGTGCAAAGAAAAGTTCAAATTAAAACTTCCTTGCTACCATGGGGAGTCCGAAGCAGCCGAAGTGCCTGTGAGGTCACCGTACGTGTTCTGTGTCCAGTGTGTAGCCCCAGGTGTGGCTTTTGGGGTGCACTCTTCAAAGAACATGTGGGAACACGCTTCGCATGGTTGCCTCTCATAGACCACGTTCGCTGTGCGCCCAGCGACACATCCTCGGCTTGCATGCCAGCATCCACCCATGGCTGCCAAATAGATTGGCTTCAAAGAAGCACTCTGCTTTGCAACCTTCATCTTCTGTTGGAGGGTGTTCTCGCACTCTTCTAGGATCTTCTGGTTCATCCGCTGCAAGACTTGTACTTGATGGCGGTTCTCCTGGTAGTTCCCCTCTGCAAGGGCCCATTCATTACGAAAATGAGCCACTTCTTCCAGCAACTTCATCTTGTCCTTTCGAAGCTCCACGAGTCGCTGTTCCTCCAGACCTGTTCGATCGGTCTGCACATAGCACTCTCTGGTACTCTTCGGTGGAGAACTCTTTGTTGTCCAGCTGATGGATGTAGTGCCAAAGCATCTCATTCCCAGCCAAACCATGATGCCCAGGAGCATCGTGAAGAAGATCAAAATCATGAAATCAAACATGTCATAACCCTCAGGGATGTAGTGCTCCCTCATAGTTCCATCGCCACCCTTCTCTGTCTCATGGGCGTTGACCACGTCCAGGAAGTAGTTGGCAAACATGGCATATAGTGCCCGTTCCGGTCTTTTGATGGCGTACATATTTTCGCCCTTCTTGCGGCTTGAGATGTTCTTCTTCTTGGAGGCTTGAAAGGTCTCATCGCTCTTGAGCTTTGTCATGTGGGATCTTAATCTCTGTCCCAACAAAGGTGCGGCAGCATCCTTTGTAAGGCCATCAGCATATTGGAGTTCTGATGACACCCACATAACCTTGCCGTTGCAGCAAGCCAGCTTGTCTCTGCAAACCAGGGCCTCGATCGTAGTGCGCTTGTCTGCTCCAGTTGCTGCCTGAATCTCCTCCTTGACCAGGATGTCATAAAGAGCCTTGGCGTCCACAATCAACTTTGGGCTGTTTGCCAAGCGTCCAGTCTCAACACTGTCTAAGGGCAGCAATGCTCTGAAGATCATGTTCCAGAACAGGGAGGTGTACATCAAGCTGTCTGCTGCTTCACTTGCGGCTTGAGACTCTGCGGACAGGGTGCTGCGAGCCACTCTTGGCAATTTCCAGCTGCGCCAGTCGAGGACGTTGTAGTGCGCTTCACACTTTCCATCTGCAACATCTTTGTGGCACATAGCCAACAGGTACCCCCCTTGACTGCTCAAATCTTGTCTTGTTGCAAACGATGCATCGCTGTAGACGACGAAAGTCATCTCATTCTTTTCTCCCAAGCGACGGTACTGCAGTCCAACGTCAGCGTATTCCTTGGCATACCGAAGGTGTTTGTTTCCATTCTGGAGGGTTGCCACTGTTGCTCTGGATGTCTCTCCGGTCAACCGAGAAATTCCAACCTGGAGATGTGGCGAGCTCTGAGTCGCTGGCCATTGCAGTCCACCAATGAGACCACGGAGTAGGGATCTCTCCTTCTCAGTCACTGGGGTGTCAGGCATCTGGAGACGTTCCTTCGTGACAGGGATCGGCTTGACCTTGTGGATATACTCTTCTTGACCCAGGGTGATGACTTCTGCGCGTTGGCAATCAATTTGGCTGCCACAGTATTCAAGTTTGTCACCATCTTGCCATTCTCGGAAGGTGAAGACTTCTTGTAACTTCTTCTTGGTTTCGGTGAAGATCGGATCATCTGGGTTCCCACATCCAACCAAATCATCAACATGGATCCCAAAGATGCCGGCCAGATCACGTTCCACATTGGGGTCCAGTGGCGTTCCTTCTGGCCAAGGCTTGTAGACCATGAAGAGACATGGGTCAAGGGGATGGCGAAGGATGTTGCCATCACCAACTTTGAGGATGCGCTCTGAGGCCTCTTCGTACCATGCTCGTGGTGCATCGCAGAGACCATACATCGGCTTCACCAACTTCATCAATTGAGGAGCCTCTGCATCAAGGCACAGCAGCATTTTGGCATCTTTTGGGAGTTTGATCCAAATCACCCGGTCCGATCCTTCTGCGAAGTTCTTACCCTGAAGGAATGCGGTTGTGATGTCTGAAGTGAACATCTTCCAGGAGTAGAGCTGGCATATGCTCAGGATCATGCCCCTTGCCAGTCTGGTCAATGTTGGTGCGTTTGTCGTCAGTGCTCCAGACAGGGCATCAGGGTCTTTGAACCCTTGAGTGATGAGTCGAGCTTTTGCCCTTGGTGTCCCGTCTTCGTTCTTCTTCCAGGTCAGGATGAAGTGGGCCTTCAACGCCCGGGAGGGATCTGCGTTGTTCTCATGGTCATAGAGCCAGACCTCATTCTTGAAGAAGCTGTCCAGTTCTTTTATCTTGGCTTTCATGAAGGCCTGTCGATCGGAGACGGACATATAGCGCTCATAGACTTCATCTCGGCCCTTCTTCTTCTTGGCAAGAGGTTGATCTCCTGAAGTTCTCATGGACTTGTAGCCTCCACTGGCTTTCTTGTAGTCTTCTTGAGCTTTTGTCCTCCAGTTGGGCTTCAATTTGAACTTTGTCTGTCCAGTCCAGTAGGCCTCCTCAATGAGATGGTTCACACTGTGCCGTTTCCATCTATCCTTGAAGGTGCCATGCGAAGTCGCTGTCACTCTGTCCTTGGCGAGGTAGTTGAGGTCAACCGGGCATGTGTCCTCTGTCGGCTTGAAGGCTCCCTTCCTGGGCACATAGTGGTTTCTGATGAGCCAATTTCCTTCCAACGTCCACTCATCCGTGGGGGCATCAAGACACAGCCATCCATTTTCAACATGCCAGCCTGGGGGCAAGTCTGTGATCTTCTCAATGTCGATGTCTATCTGCATGTTGAGGTCCTCTTCGGTCGGATGGTCATAAGGTGTAGTCCTTGATGATTCTGATCGGATAGGGCCATACTCCGTAGGCCTGTGCAGGAAGGAGAGGGTCTCTTGTTTGTCCACTCTTGCCCTCTGAGTCTGAAAGCTCTCCGCAGGTGGTGCCTCATAGAGTCTTCTCTGATGTTCTGGTACTGGTGCAGGATCACTCTCAACAATCGGTGGGCTGTCCTGCGGCGGTTGTTGTGGATTCTGACCCCCGGCACCATCCTCTCCGTTGGGTGTCGCACCTCCTTGCTCATCATTTCTTCCTTGAGGTTGTCCATCTCCATTAGTCGGTGGAGGTTCATTTGGAGGTTCTTCCGGCTCCGGTGGTGCATCGGTATCACCAAAGAGCTCAACCAGGACATCTGAATCATCATCCATTTTGTCCTCAATCACGAAGGTTGTCGTTCCCGTCCAGGTATAGTGGAGTGATCTGGAGGCATCAATGACTCGCCAATCATCACGAAGGCGTACCCGTGGAGGATGTGGTGGTAGTCGCCTCACTGTGGTCAGGCGGTCGCTGCTGAATCGATCAACCGGCACCTCGGAGTCATTCTCTGGAACATAGAGCTCTCTTCTCGGCACATTGTGGATCCTTGTCCATGTTTTGCGGTCATCGGAGATCTCCCAGGTGTCTCTGAGGCCAGGGTGCTCATCGTCTCCAGCTGGGAGTTCTTCATCATCGAACTCTTCATCTTCTTCATCACTCGACACCTCATGACGCTGACGCTTGTTGGTTCGTGTCAGGTCGGTGTAAAGCGTTGTGCCTCGGCTTCTCACGCCTTGTAGAGCTTGTTGCGCTCGATAAAAGGGATCATCATCAGCAGTTTTGGGAACATCCTGTTCCGGCACCGGTCGGAGATGTTCTGGCGCTGTCCTCAGTAGATTGGTTCCATGCACCACCCAGTAGATCGTGGTGTGTGGGCCGCTCTCCAACTGCTCAACCATCACGACTCTGGCAGGTCCTCTCCAGCGTAATTTTGGACCAATGCCTCCAGGCCCATCACGATAGTAGTAGCACAAATCACCAAGCTGGAACACGGTCAACTGTCCAGTGAATTTCCGGTTAAGAGCTCGTCGAAGTCGGACATCCACATCTGCTGAGAAAACTGCGTTTGCTGCCTTCTTCTGTCGCTGTAGCTTCTGCAGGAACTCGTCCGATGGGTCCAGGCTCGGCAGCTCAAGGGGCTCTTCAGTAAGAAGTCCTGGCACATGAGGTGTGTAGCCAAGAACCCACTGCGCAGGGCTGTACCCACGAACATTGGTCCCCCGGTTGATCTGTGGGATGACATAGCACAGCGCCTGAATCAACCGCTCTCGTGGTTCATAAGGTTGGAGGACATCTCCCTGTTCCTGATCGGCAATGTACAGCTCGATCGCTCGTCTTGTCACTTGGTGGCGCCTCTCCAAGATTGCCAGTCTTGTGTGGCTCTGCCCGGGAGAGATCTGTAGTTGGATTCCATTCTCGGAGCACCAGGACTTGACATAGTCTGAAGACCAGCTCCGGTGATCATCAACCTGCAAGATCTTCATAGGGCCAAAGGTGCGGATCCAGCCGCGTTCAAGTGCCAGCACGAACTCCTCGGGAGATTCACGTTGCAGGACTCTGCCTCCGAGAAACCGAGTGGCAGCATCACTGATCATCATTACTGGTAGAGCTCGTTTTGCGGGAGGCATCTTGATCCACAAAGTATCTGACTGCACCCGAGTGTTGAACTCTTGGTAGCGGAGCGCTGGACGCGCTTCGATGCCAGGTGGTGATGGACCTACAACGGGCGGTCCTTCGACTACCTCTTCGGTGGCTGGTGGCACCATCGAAACTATGAAAGACACCTTCATCCCGGTCTTCAACAACAAGGTGGCGGACTACAGAGAGTGGAGACAGCGGATCATGCTGTACAAGAAGAAACTCGCCATCCAAGGCAAGGACAAGGAGGCGATATTGAACTTGCTCACGAGCTTGCGTGGCACGGCCTGGAAGCAAGTTGAACACATGGTCGAGGCCGTCCCCGAGGCCTCCGACGGCTTTGAGAGAGTGCTCAAAGCACTCGATGTGGCATTCCAATACGACAGCCGGGTCGAAATGCCAAGGGCATTGGAGAAGTTTTTCTATCAGCTGAGCAGGAAGTCGGAGCAAACCCTTCTTTCTTACTGCACGGAACACAGAGAGCAGCTGAGGGAAATAGAAAAACACGGGGTCAAGATACCGGACAGTGTCTCCGGTTGGATGCTCCTCCGAAGAAGCAACTTGACGCAGGAACAGAAACACCTGGTGCAATCCCAGGTGGGAGCCACGCTGGCGCTGACCAAGGTGGAAGAGGCCATGTATTACCTCTATGGCCAGGACTTCAAGACCAAGGGCGAGACACATCCTCGATGGAACAAGAACCTCATCAAGAAGCAACAAAGATGGTATCCAAGGAAGCCTCAACAGGGCTACACTGCCGAAGAATGTGACCTGGACACCGAGGAGTACGAGGATGCATACCTCTTGGAGGACGAGCTCTATGAGGATGAGCAGGCCTTTGAAGAGTATGAGGACCCTGAGGCCACCTACGGCAGCCCGGATGATGAGCTCTACTACCAGGAGGAGCCATGGACAGATGACTTCGACCCACAGCTGGAAGAGGCATATGCCACCTACCTGGACGCCAGGAGACAGTTTGCCAGTCTCAAAGCAGCTCGAGGCTACTATCCCGTCGTGGCCCTGACCGGCACATCAGATCTTCCAGGCTCATCAAGTTCTTCTGCTACCACACAACGACCCGTCGTCAAGGGAGGAAAAGGAAAGAAGGGCAAGAGCAAGGGCAAGTCACCCCCGCAAAAGGGGCCAGCCCTTCAGCGTGGAAGAACAGCATTAGACTCCATGCAGTGCTTCAAGTGTGGCCGATATGGACATGCAGCTGCAGATTGCCCTCAAAACAAGGGTTCACAGTCCCCCCAAGCGTGCGAAAACTGAGACTGCTACGAAGAGCACTGGGCAAGCTTTCATGATGCACGACCTCAACCAGAAGGGAACACCCATGTTGTCTGAGCAAGGCTGGTTTGGCCTACAGGATGGAGGAGCGAGTAGCACGGTCTGTGGACACCAGACGCTGATGAACATCATCGAGTACATGTATGACAAGGGAGTACCCTTGGAGCGCTACACCTTCCACCCGACCACCAAGCTCTTTGGCTTTGGAGGCGATGCAATGCGCAAGGCTGAATGGACTGTTCGCCTGCCGGTGTACGTCAATGGAGTCTCCGGCCTCATCGAATGCTTCCTGGTGGAAGGTGCTACTCCTCTCCTCGTGGGAAGACCCATCTTGAAGTCGCTCAAGGTGAAGGTGGATTGGGACAAAGACCTCATCAAATATGGGGATGCTGAATGGCAGTCTGCCGTTCGTGGAGAAAGAGGTGAATACCTACTTCGACTGGATGATGGAGTACATGCCGATCCGAAGGGCGAGAACGTGTTCTTTGACCTCGTCACCACCGAGACCTACGAGATGGTTCAGAGGACAGGAGTGATGCACTCATCAACCTACACCTTGCTTCAGTACCTTGAGGCGACAGGCAGAGACCCTCCAGAGCACTGCCTTCAGGCTGATGAGGAGAATGTCACTGATGCTGAAGAAGTTGAAGATCGCCCGGTGGCACCACATGATGAAGAGGAAGTTGCAGCAGTGAGGAAGGAGATCACGGACAAGCTGCTCAGGGGAATCCGTGTGCACCATGCCACAATGTTCGCTCGTAGACGAACCGTCCTTGAGCAGGGCCTTCGAGCTCATGAACAAGGGGCGAAAGTTTTTTGGGAAGTATACTCTGGAGAAGCTGGTCTTTCGATGGAGATGCAGCGTAGGGGCTATACAGTCTTCAGCTTCGACATCAACACGGGCTGGGACTTTGACTACCCTGACCATCGTAACTCCTACTTCAAGCTCCTTGAGGACATTGCCCCAGACTTTGTGTGGATTGCCCCGGCATGCAAGAAGTGGTCAAAGATGCAAGCACTGAATATGCTCACACAGGAACAGACCTTTGCTCTGCAGTGTGAACGAGACTATGAAGAAGCAGTGCATCTGAAGCTGGCCGAGAGAACCTTCGTCATCCAGTATAATGAAGGAAGAGATGCGGGGATCGAGCACCCTGCTTGGTCCAAGGCATGGGACACACAAACCTGGAGCACTCTCCCAGGATGGCCATGCCGACTCGACCAGTGCGCCTATGAGACAAAGATTGCAGGTGAGTACATCAAGAAGCCAACGCGCTTGCAGTTGACAAGCCCCTCGATGGTTGACATGCTCGCATGGAGATGCCCTGGAGACCACACACATCTTCAACTTGAAGGGTCCCTACCAGGAGTTGGCTCACTGACCAAAGCAGCAGGGGCCTATCAGCAGACTTTCTGCCACTGGATTGGAGAGGCGATCGACCTCCTCTACTATGAGCCTGAGGAGCTGGGCATGGCAACTGGCGAGTATGATGATGAGGAGTACACTCCAACTATTGCTGACCACCACCGCGACGATGAGCCCAATCAAAACTCTGCACAGACTACACCTCGGGGAGATGCTCCACCCACAGATGGTCCTCGAGGAGGTCAGCAACAAACTGGGGTACTACAGCGCCTTCAAGTTGCAGCCGATAGCCAACAGGCAAAGAGGACGATCAGTCGACTTCATCGGAACCTGGGGCATCCGACGAATGCAGAGCTATGCCGACTGCTTACCATGAAGGGGGCCCACGAAAGCCTGATAAACCAGGCAAAGGCCCATGACTGCGCCGTGTGCGCTCAACATCAACGGCGACCACAAGTACCAGTCTCCTCGGTCCCAAATGCCCAATGTTGGTAAGCGGGCGCAACTCACCAGGTTCGGGCTCTCAAGGTCCCGATGCAAAGTCGTCCACGAAGTACCGCGATCACGCGGCAGCTTTTCCAGCGGCCATTGGCGTCAGAAGGCTAGCGCCCCACCACTTTGGTTTGAGGCGGCAGGGTGACAAATGGTCATGTCAAGTACCCTCATGATGTGCGGCGCACATTTCACAACTTGTAATTGCTCAAGCCAAATCAAAATAATCAAAGGAGAGTACAACACTAGTTCAACTAATTAGAGAAGGGCAGCAAGAACACTGCAATTTGGGACGAAGAAAGCCTAGTCTCATGTGCAACCTTCACGGGTCTTTTCAACTTGCAACACTATTGTCAATTGGATCATACTCTCTCAGGACCGTCACTTCCACCAAGCAGCTGAAGTGGCCACTCGGGCTTGAAGAGTTTGACCGATTGACCTCAGGAAAGATGAAGGTGGACCCTGGACACCACTTTTCCACGGCAACTGGCCCAATATTGAGCCTTCAGGACATAGTTTCTACACCATGCAGCTACAACTTCACAGTTGCTGCACGTGTTTTTGGTGTCCAGCCTCAGTATTGCCCCTGAGTCCGTGTACCTCAAGAGAAACATTAACCGTCTGCAATTGATGAGCTCTGTTCATGATAAACTCTTGGTCATTTCTGCAATCGCTGTCTGGATAGACTCTTGGTCGCTGGCGCCCGGGACTGGTGCCGCTGGTGATGCTGGTGTCGCTGACGCGACCATGATGGACATGACTAAAAGCGCAGCCTTGAGGTCCTTGGTCAAGTGGCTTGAAGGATCAGGTGAGATGTATATAAATGACAAAGCTCAAACTGCTGAAAAGAATTGCAACAACCTGTGTATCATGTACTACAGTATATGCTTATGCCGCATGCCACTATGTGTTGGTTTCACAATACCCCGAACTCATGTACCGTCTGTCCAAACAAAATCAACCAAGAAGAAGTCCATCATTTCAATGAATCAGCATCTCAATAATTAGTTTGATGATGTTGCTTGAAGTCGCCCGTGGGCACATTAGGACTCTCCGTATTTCAAAGCATTGCATTGCAACACAAAACTCCTCAAAGCTGCCATAGTTTGCTAAAGATCTGAATCCCCGCTACAGCATGCGCTGCTGAGCCCAAATGCTGTGGACCAAATGTGTTTTACAATTGCTATGCATCTTTCTTCGCTCGGTGGTAGATGGTGCTAACTTGCCTCCAAATTGGCTGCACAAGCGAATCTATAGAGTGCGCACCATTCTGTGGTCTTCTTGTTGAGGGCCAATGATGTTCTTCCACATCACCTTGGAGAGGATGGAGGCCATCGCTACTAGGTTGGAGGTCATCGCTACTGGGGGAAGCCATCGCTATTAGGTCGTTGGAGGCCATCGCTACTAGTTTAGTAGTTTCCATAAGGAACCAAATCACTAGCGCCAGCCATCCTGCGTCCAGTAGGTAGTAGCTATTTTAACTACTGGCGGCCTACCCCGCCGGGCTAAAAAAAGAAAAGAAAAAGGAAGATGAACAACTCCGTACATCCCAGTGATGACCGACTAAAGGTTTCTTGCGTCAAGTCAAATCCGAGCTTCATGCTGCGCAGCCCTTCCGAGGCACGACCTGTTGGTTCTGGAGCTTTCAGAGCAGAGTCGAAGAACCAACTATATATGTGAGGTGACTCAAATCAGAATCAAACAATCAAGACAAAGAGCTTGACTCCTGTGCCTTCATATTCAGCTCGGGGAAAAAAGTCTCGCCACCCTCTCCTGGCCTCAGTGGATTGAACCTTTCTTCCGGCTTTTGCTAAAAATGAATGTGTTTGGGACCCTTTAATAAGGGGGCCCTTTTTAATAGGGCCCAAATACCTTCTCTTTTGATCCCAAAAGCCTGCGCTCCGAGAATCTCTAGCAGATTCTAGCAGTTTCCAAAGTCTCTGTGGGAAGCGCGGGATGTCATTCAGGTAGACAAACACGGTGATTGGACCTCTGCTGCAAATTGGACCACTTTTCACTCTGTTGCAATATCTACATCTCTCAAAAAGGCTCCCAAATCCAGCCCTTCAGCCAAGAACGTCACGGAAACGTCCATCGTGATGCTCTTTGAAGAACTGCCCCGGTGCATACCTCAAAAAGAGGTGTCTACCAGTCTACCTAGTGAGGACTTCGGATCCTGTCAGAACTAGCAAGGTGCACATCAGGAACTGCATAAATGATGATAACTTGTCACGGAAGTATTGTGTTTGTGAAAGGCGCCTCACCATGTTCAATGGTTCCAGGAACTTTATATCCATGTCCTGATTGCTCAAGCAAGGCGAAGCCATGCGCAGCCACCAAGCCTGACTTCTCTCTTTTTGCCATTTGAGTAATCTAAGTTGCAGTCAGCCAGTGCTGCCAGACGAAGTTCAACCTTGGCCAATGCGAAAACACATTGACTTCTGCCTCAACTCACACCAAATGGAGGTAAAGCATGCAAACTTGGTCGACAGGGTAGCTACAAGTCATATTCTATTCCAAGATCCGAATTACTTTGGCCCAATAATCTGTGGGCCAGGCTGCAGTCACCACGTCACTATGTCCAGGCTCAATGAGGCAAGAGTAGGACGTCCGAATGTTGGAGACTTGATTCTCCTTAGCCAATCACTTAGCCGAGGTCTTGTCACATTGACAGTCAGGACATTGGACCAAGTCCGACTGGGTTCCTTGCCAAGTCCTGCCCCTCATTCTTTGTACGATACACTCCGGAGCCCACCTGCAGGGAACAAGAGTGACTCCGGTGACAAGAGTTGCTTCTCTGCGCGACGTGGCCTCTGATGGCTCCCAACCTCAGCGCACTGGAGCTTTGAACAAAGACATCATTGCTACTAGATGCTACTATATAGTAACAAGGGCATGACTACTAGTAACAAGAAGCTACTACTTGCGATGCCCTTGTTACTCGTAGCTTCTTGATCTCACTCGTAGTTATATATTCTATTTTTGCTCTACCTCATGGGTTTCCCATGGTTTCTCTAATCACAGGATGTTTATGGATGTTTTATATGCTTTGATTGTCCAAAAAGGTTCAATTGCATTTGTGCTCCACTCTTGTTTTTCCTTGTGGCAATCTACTTCTGATCTAGTCCTGGAGCCTTGGCTTTGAAAGATTTAAAATGTGGTATGTGATTGCGCTTTCCCTCATAGAGATAGTTGAAAGAAACGACCAAGAAAGGGCAGTTGCGAGAAGCATCCATCATCCTTTAGACATATTCGACCGCGGTCTTCACAACAGGGCCATTGATGATATATTGCCGCTTCTTTATGTAATTACCTTGCCATACCTTGCCTACAAAACTGAACACGAACATCAGCTACAAGTAAGTGGCAATCCTGAGCGGTGCTCAAAACCCTGAGGTCTTGGCCTAAAGCTTCCGCCATGTTGTCTTTCGCGCTTTGTCTTTTGCCGTGTTCGTCTACCTCCGGTTTGAAAGTTTTTAGTTTGTCTATTTCAATCTACTTGTCTAGTTTCTGTACCTTGATTTTACCTACCACATGATGGGACAGCGGCCCATGCAGGAGTCAGGGTTTAGAACCAATCCGGAGGGAAAAGGACTATTGAAGTTCACTGCCGTCCTAGATGTTTGGTATGTCACAACTCTAGAATTCTCGACGTTGTAATTTTTACCAAAACAAGTTCAAGCGTCTCTTCATGAGGCTGCCACCGTTTTCAGCCAGCTTCAGCAAATGCTCAATTTCAGCCTCAATTCAGTTCCTAGTCCTATGTGTGCCACAAGCCATGAACGTATAAACAACCGGACACAATTGTGGTCACGCGTCGTGTCCCTCGCATCATGCACACACACACCGGATAAAGTATAAAGCTTGCTTCTGCCAAAATCATTGCTCATCACAAGGGAGCGGCTGTTGTATTAATCGTCTATCTATATATATATATATATCTGTGTTGTGTGTTGTTTTGCGTGCCAACAGTGCCAACAGAAAGGCAGGGTCATCCATAAGATGACAAGCATACATCGAGCGTGAGCATGCTTTAAGTTCAACATGTTGGAATCCTAGAAACTCTCCCACCACCTTTGCAAATGGATGCAATTGGCTAGATTTAAATGTATGGCATGAGGCAAGTCTGCATTTAATTTGTTGCCAACACCCCCCACAACAGTTGTACTTAAAGAAGCGATAAGATGGATAAGTAACGAGGAAGCGGCGCTGAATCAACAGCATCAAAAAAGAAACACGTACCAAATTTGCATGGCGAGTACTTCTTTTGACACAACACAAGCGCAGAACATGGAATGGAGAAACCATCAAGAACCTCATCTTGCCTTTGGAGCTATTCCCAAATTCCCAAGTCGTGCCTTCTACCACTGCACCCTTATACATGAAACCAAGCCTCTACGACTCTACTTGGAAGAGGTTGTCATAAAGAGCAGCAGCAACTGCTGCGTGCAAGATGCAACTGAGTTCAGAGCTGCACCTACAAAATCTGGAACCACGATCACCTGAATTCTGACAACTTCTTGCCAAAGTGTCGGTTTCACTTTCCTCTATCATGTTGTGTTTCAGTCTTGTCCCTGCCTCAGGGTCCCCCAAGACATTGTACGCACGTAGAGTGCGGCCCTTTCCCTCAGTCGTGACAAAATAAGACCTGCGACACAGCTGGCAGGAATGGCTCGGAGCTGAGATGCCTACGCCGCTGGCTGTGCTAGCTTTAATTTGTTCATCTTCGACGCCAACCTGAAGGAAGCTGTTGCTTTTCGATGTAAACAAACATGGAGGCTGCCTCCGCTGGGTCAACGATCAAATCGGCCACTTGATCGACAAAGCCTCCATCTATTCTTTCCTGCGCTGCACATGTCAAATCTAGTCCAACACAACCTTGCCAAAGGCCAGCCTCTGATTCCATGGCAAACTCTTTGGAAGATTTGCTACCCCCGAAACTGAACAAGTATATTGGCAAGTATCAGTGATCTGACAAATGGTGCAAAATCATTGAACCATACAGCAGGGTCGACAACTTGCCTTAACGTCAGTTCTTAGCATCAGCCATCAGCCTCTCTACTGTGCTGTGCCAATGGCTGCGATTGTCCACGGCAAAAACCTATGCAAGTTCAAGTATACGCAAGTTGATAATTTATTTCTGGCAAATCGATGTGTTGTCATTGAAATCCCGATGAATCCGGGATTAGGAAAATATCCAAATACCAAATATGCATCGCTCTTTTCTCCAATGGAATTGTCAACTTGTGAAGTCGAGCAGAATATCTTGCTGCAAACATCTCAGGCTTGATGCCTTGAAGGACCCACGCAACTCAAGTAGAAAACAAAAATCCGATCTTCCTTGGGATGCTAGGTCGTAGAGAGGTATGGTGAGCTGGGAAAGCCGAAATAGCATAAACCATAGGCTAGTAAGCAAAAAGATACTAACAGGAAGCAAGGACATCTTCTTCCATGTAACACTAAGGAACTGGACACAAAAGGCTTCGATTCGCTCGGTTTTTTCGCTTCGAGATTTCTTGGGGAAAAACACCTGTCCGTCGGTCTGTGCCTCTCCGCGAAATCTGATATCCCCTCGGTAGCAGTACCTGCGCAAACTGCAAGACTTTTTCGAGTTACACTGGCACTAGCGGCGTCACTATGCGTCACTTGCCACCCAAAATCGTGCAAGCAAAACATGACTTGGCAACCAGCCTCAAAGCCTTGAAAGCAGTGACACAGTCAGTGACACATGGTGAAACAGAAATGCAAAAAATGCTTTCAATGGCCGTGCACCCTTCTCCAGTGGCTTTCAATTTCAATGCTTTTCATTGCTTTTCACGCTTCACGCGCTTCCCCTGGTTTGTTGCAAACTGTGCTCCTCACCACTTTCTGGTACCTGCACTCCAAGCTTCCATTTGAAGGTCAAGGGGCAACGGATCAGCGTCATAGATGTTTGGTGAAACATTTGCATCTACCTTTTTCTCTCGCATCAAGCACTTGATTTTTCAGGACTTTGGATCGAGTCACACGGTCTGTAGCCTGAATTTATTATGACGCATTCATGGCATTTGCATATTGTAAACATTGAATTACATGATTGTACATGGTTGTACTGCTTACCAGGCCAAGTGAGACTTGCCTGAGCAGCCTAAGCTTGGCTCTGTCCACGCTTGTGTTTAGCAATGGACTTGACCAGCTGATTACTTTGGATAATTGTCTGAGGCTTATCAGCCTTTGTCAGCTCCTTCTCTTTGTCTTTGTCCAACTTCCTTGCACGCATTTGGTATTTTGTCCGCTCGTTTGGATCCAGTGCTTTCCATGCGGGAGTACTTCTGCCACCCTCACGCAGAAAAAGATTGAAGGCATTTTGTCTTCGCTTGTATGTTTTCAGCTTTTTGGACCAACTGGGAGGTTCGTCTCCACCGCTGGGTAGTCGTATGGAGTCATCCCGGGCCTTAATCTCGATCTGTCGTCCTTTCTGCGCTGCTTTGGTCTTCTTCCTGATCCGCTGTTGCATTGCCTCCATTCGCACCTCCAGCTTGTCTGGCAGCTCCGCTGAAACAATGAAACTATCGTCCAAAACTTTGGAGACTATTCCAGGGAGCCACACAGCCTTGTCCTCGCACCACACGGAGCATGCGTCTCCAACCTTGAAGGTCTTGACTTCTCCATCCAATGATCCGCGTCCACCAGTGTCACCTAGCATGTTGCCAGATAGTGCATTTCGCTGCCATGATACGGAGCAACCCGAATCCACCCAAATGCCAAAATGCCCATTCTCACACAAAGTGCACCCGGTAAGTTTGGCCTCTCCCGGTTTTCCATCTACGAGAACACCACTGAGTGTGTTCCGAGCCATTCTGCTGTCGGAAATGCAAAGCCGTTTCCCTGAGGTTGAATGTACACCTTCTCCCTCGCAATCCATGATCTCGCATTCCCGTAAGACAAGCTCTCCCGAATCAAAAGCAGAAATCCCACATGAGCTTGACTTATAAACTCGAGTCCGGGTTAAATGAGCAAACGCATCAGGGCATACCTTCACTCCAGCTCCGTCCAAATGACAATCTATCAGCTCCAATCGAGCCCCAGATCGAACTTCTATGAGTGTTTCTCCACTGGGCGGGCCGCCTTTGAATTTGATGCAAACATGTCGCAAAGTTAAAGATGCTTCTCCTGTCACCACAATGCCTGGCACATGCAGTGTCGGAGGGAGTAACGAGCCTGGAGATGCCTCGAGCAGAATGGAGGAGTGTACAACAACTCTGTTGCTTTGCGTCAATTCTCCTTTGGGAAGCTGCACTAATTGCTTTCCATCAGCCTGTGCATCCGCTATCAGCTTTGTAATAGGCAGCTCTGGAATTGCTGGCTTTTTAACTCTCGGCACAATCTGCCCTTCGCGCGCAGCTGCAGTTTTGCTGTTCTTTTTGGCCTTCGCTTTCGGCTTTTTCACAGAAGCTTTCATTGCTTCGCAAAGTTGGCGTGCTTAATTTGTGGAACATTAACTTGACTCAATGTGTCCTCAAACGTTGCATCTACTTTCATCTACTATATTGGCATGCAAGTCATTTCATCTCTTTGACTACAGCAGCGTCAATGCTTAGTCCGAACATGCAACTAAATGATTAGTGCCTGAAGCCTGAAAGAGCTGGGCAGCGTGTGCGCCGTTTGACCAAGCAATGGCAAAGCAAACTCTGTATCTTTGACTTGTTGAAATCTGCTGCGACAAGTATGGTCTCCCACTCCGGTCCCATCCCCAGCCTCCAATCTAGTAGGCGGCCACCATTGAACACGAGCTGTCTGGAATCCTGGGCATTTCATGCTACTTGTGCGCGTCAAATGTCCACTCTCATAGTGGGTAGCTGAGGTCGCGTCTTGCTGCGGCAGATCCAATGATGAGGGTCTCTCCACCCTACACATTTGCAGCTCTGCAATGCTCCGCAGTTCTGCATTCACTCAGGGCACTTGACAAAAACTTCAAGTCCAAGGCTTCGGAGATGTACAGCATGATGTCTGCAACTTCCCGAGCCCAAGGAACAAACATGACCTGTCAATCTTTGTTTGGTGGAATCTGCGCATTGACAGGGCCCAAGCACTGAGGACACAGCAATTTCATGTGCCAATGTGCGATCGTCCTAAGGCAAACATGTTTTGCAAAAAATGTTGTCGAAGTACCTAATTACTTTACAGTAGTCTGAAGTAATCACTCATTCAGCCTTTTCAGGGAACACACATAGAAATTGTTGGTTGATCGGTTAACCAGATTTCTCATCATAAACCTGTTTACATAACGTAAAGCTAGATAGCGCATTATAGCGAAATCATTCGTTGTTACACTTGTGATCGGTCCTACCTCCCAGTTGTCCTGGATTTAGTTTGACATTACTCTGGGCAGCGGACAGCTTCACGGACGAAGCAGTGCAAGTAGATCTTAGTGAGCAAACGAAATAGCCAATACAGTAATGCGAGACTATTCCCCGAAACGAAGCAGAATCCAAAACGCCTCGTCATCAATGTCAGGAATTTGCACAGGGGTACCTGCAGCCTGTCGCCAGCCTCAAAAGTAAAGCTGCAAATGGACAGGTGGTTGGGAGTCGTTTCACTGGGAATTGTTTCACCTGTAGTAACAAGAAGCTTTTTAGTATGTCTTTGAAGCGTTCTAGTAACTAGAAGCTTTCTTAGTAACTGGAAGCTACTAGGTGGAGGCCATCGCTATTAGGTACAGTAAAGCTTTCTTAGCAACTACAGCTTTTGTACGGTCTTCTTACCGACAAACACATGCACAAAATTGCACAAAAGTGTTGTTTCGAAGCCTTGAAGCTTGCGAGCGCGGCTGCGAACGAGGACCTCGTTGTTTGAGACCTAGAGCAAAAATGCTAAGTGTTGAACACTAGCGGCGCCAAATACAGCGCTTTGCGCAAGACTTCGTCTTTACACTTGGGATACGACGCACAGAAATCGGCCGCCTGGCCCAAGCACCCGGCATGCCTTTAGAGAATGCGACAAAGAATGCTGCACCAGTGACATGAGGACATGGGGCGCCTCTGAGAGCATCTTACTCGAATCTTCTGGTTTCAAGGCATCAAAGCAACCTTTGTCAATGACCTGGCTAAGCAAGCTGAATAAGGCAGACTACTTCACTGCGAGTTTGCAATGATGACTGCCATATAAGAACATGTTCCACTCTTTGCACGCCAAGCGTGCGGGCTGCATCGAACGCGCCACTTCGAAGAGGCAGCATCCTACACAAAAAATATACGCACAATCTCTTCTTTGGATCTGCCTAGCCAACTACCCGGTGAGGATACCATCCGACTGCAGCTCCGTCTTTCGCTGTAGATTGCGACTCTATCTTGTAGCACCTGGCTCCCTTGCTGCCCCTTCAAGAGCCATGCATTTTATTGCATTTTGCTTCCTTTGGAGAATACTATTCTGGGGAAGAATATGGAATGTGGAACGGCTTTGAGGGGCGGGAGTGGTGTCCGCGAGTTGAGTCTTGGGAAGCATATGGAATTGTCGGGAATGTGTAAACAAGCAATCCCGGTCACTTGCAGCTGCCGTGCTCTTTCCAAAATGTCAAACTAGAATCAGGTTAAGGCTGGGAAGAGGCTTCTGCGTGGCTCTCCTGACATCGAAGGTTGAGAACTCTCGTGGGCCAACTCTCGAGATCGCTGCGGCCTCAAGCTCACTTGCGATAAGCTGTGATAAGCTGCAGTGTATTGCAGGGAAACAGCGTTCTCAAGCAGAAATCAAATGCATATAAATATGCATAACAAGTTAAGCACCTAAGCAACAACAGTATCTGTAAGTACTTCACTGCATTCACTGCAGTGGGAGAAAAGTCTGCTGCAAGTGCAGCAAAGCCAGCCTGCGTTCTGCCCGAAACATTCATCCAGCGCTTGTCTAAACAATCCAAACAGTGGCTTACATAATTAGCTTGCACACATATAGGCTCGTGCTTTACTCCACCTCAACCAGGCCAGGCACCAAGGAAGCATGGCCACCTCAGAAAATTGGTGCTGGTCCCGTGTACTTATCAACTATATATAAGACATTATAATACACTAATGATGAGGTGAAGCATTGCTTTATCAATCACCATGCATGACCATGCCAAACACACAGACTTGCATGAACAAATGCATGCACATTGCATCACAGTGCACTACGCTGGCATATTCAGTGGCAAAATGACTTTTCCCTATTCAAGCTGGTTCCAACTGTGGGTCGCTTCAGCCTCACTGACCCTCCCTTTGACGCATGACTCTTGCACTGCTTATGCACGCTCTAAATCAGTCAACTTGTTCCGAGCGTCACCCAGCTTTGCCCTGCTTGTGCCGACTTTGTATCTCCGACTCCAACATGTCCAACCCAATCTACACCTATGCCCTGCCATCTCGCCATGGTATAAGGCAGTGGCAGCCGAGCTCCAGCACGTGGCCAGGAGGTTCCAAACCCCAAGACCCTAGCAAGCCTCGGCGGATGGCAGTAGAATACTGAGAAGAGTCTTCTCAGAAGACCTTGTTAGGACCGACAGCCGCGAAAAACAACATAAAATGACAACTCAGACTGGGCCCTGAAAACCGAGCGGAAACCAGGTCCAAGCTCAAACGCAAACTGCTGAATTGCCATCTGCCAGAATTACAACAAAGGAGTTGCCTCTTCAACCCAGGCTTGGATTATTTTTATATATAATGAAAATTATATAATGAACATTAACTGCCGAACCAAAAATCAGAATCTGTCAAATCTGGATTTCATGATATTTCAGGCCAGATTCCAAGCCCAGCGAACAACTTTGTCTGGGGGTTTACATGACTGCCAGCACTGCTTCATGACACAGCACCCACTGGAAACGAACACGGTGGCGAGGCAACCCCGAGCAACTGCTGCACACAGTGTAGCCAGATTCTTATATATAAGTACAGAATCTCTAGTCACTGTATCATTATCATGGCAATATTCACAGCATGGAGGATGGGAGATACCCCAGAGCGTCACTACCAAAGGCATCAATCTGGTCCTCACGCCATGCCCTTTGCAACATTTTGAAGATCGAAAGCCAAAGCAACAGCACTTTGTGATCGTTTGTGGTCGTGAACTATTTAACCGGTCTCCTTTTGCAGTCCCCAGTAGGTGCGGCTCTTTCACGTACTAGCCAAGTTCATCCAATTTCATCCAACAGCCAGTGAGCCAAACGCATTCTAAGATTGAGATGTTGAGGGCAAACATAGCCGCCAACAACTCCGCCAATGGAGTTCTTTCACGATGAAATTGAGGCTCACTTCCCAAAACTTACAAGCAAAGGAGAAATGTGCATGTTGTTGTCGAGCACGCGTAACGAATGTTCTGTGACATTCACACCACCAGAAGCCAAAAGGACTTGCAGAAACCAACCCAAGCCAAACAAGGATTACATAGAATTATAGCTCCGGCGTGACCATTGAGGAGCCGAAGGAACTTCACGGCTTCAAGGTTCCTGCTTGCAAGGACATCACAGGGCAAAACAGCTCCGCCTCCAATAAAGAGGTGATTCTTGAGAACATTCCAGCCCATATACCATTCGGTGGAGCCCTAAAGGAAGAAAGACATGTGCAACATAAGGACGATGCTGTGCAAGCATCACTCTTGCCGCCTCTGGTGAAGCCATGTCCGCTTGGTAGCGCCTGCAAAGGGTGGCTAGTTCGCTCTGCTCCGGTGCTTTGAAAAGGTGCTGAATCAATTGTATATAAACAAACGATGCACCTTGCTACTAGTAGCTTCTTGTTACTAGTAGCGATGGCCTCCAACCTACTTGCGATGGCCTCCACCTCATAGCGTCCTTGCTACTGCGCTCAAATCTTTCAAAGGCTCCAGCTGCTCCCAGTAGTCTTGATCAGCATATTTTGGCAACCCTTAGTTGAAGAGCAGGTCTCTTGCGTATCTGGAATGATGAAATCTGACCGAACCATGTCTAACAGTCTATCCTGCAGTAGATTAAGTATGTTAGTGAATGAGCCTGGAAAGGCCTCACTCGCAGTGGCCTGTCTTGCCATTGCAAGACAGGCAAATATAGAATGCAAGGGAATGCTCAGAAGCTGTTATTCAACACTGGTTTGGTGTTGACAAACTTGTGTACCAAAAAAAACGCCAAATTGGAATCATATGAAACTTCAGTGTTGTGAGATGCGTTGAGTGAATATCGGTCTGGATGGTCTTAAACAAAGGAACAATCCAAATGCCAAAGACTCTGTGGTTTGATATGTTGTGAATATGGCTCCGGGAGCAAGTCGATTAAAGCTTCTCTTATGTTCCACTTTAAATGTGCTCATGCTTTTTGGACGCAATTCTGGTAAGACAGTCTGGAGCTTGAAGCTTTCATGCGCTGCTTTTGCTGAATCAGCCTGTTCTTCGTCTGGCCTGCTCAAGGGGTTGCCCCCCACCACCTCTTTGAGGAGGTTTGTTCCAGCCAGATCGTCCAGGACCTGTCAAATGAAGTGGATAGGGCGCTCAAATGCGTGTCAATGTCTTTCAATCA